TAGGAATGTCTCACGGCCAGTCCGGTGCGCCTTATGTGTGTGTTAAATACAGAAATGGCACACATAACTGAGACTGCGCCTTTTAGTACGGTGTGCCTTACAGTATGGTCGTGAAAATACGGTACTAAGAAAGACAGAGTTGAAGCCATCAAAACAAGAGTGGTGTCTGAAATCATGGATGCTGGCCAGTTCCATACAGGGACTACGGAAATACCAGGTGGGTTGATAAAGATTGCTTTATTTTAAACTGATGTAGGTTTTTTATATAGTTGTTAAAATCCTTTACTTTAAAAAAGTATACATTAATTATATTGTGTCCAGGTTGCATATGGCAAACTACATATGTACTAAAAATCCCAACATGTAGAATTATTTTGTTTCAATATAGAAAACTTTGTCTTTAGAACTTATTTGTGCTCCCCTCTGTCTCAGAATCCCCCCACCCACACTCTGTTTCAGGTGCATGTCAACAGGTACAGAAGATGGCAGTGGAGAACATAAACCAGCTGGGAAAAAGCAGCAGAAATTGTTCGGGAGCTTCTTCAAGAAACAGTGTCCCGCTGCCTCAAAACATCTCACTGAAAAGGAAAAGGTAAAAAGCGAGTTGGAGAGATATTTGGAATCACCAGATGCAGACTCCAAAGGCAACCCGTTGCTGTGGTGGAAGGGCAATGAGCATCCATTTCCAAGACGACACCTACTTGCTAAAAAGTACTTATGTATCCCAGCCACCAGCTCCTCTTCTGAAGGGATTTTCAGTTCTGGAGGGAATGTTGTGACGTGCACCAGGGCTGCCTTAAAACCTCATAAAGTGAACCAACTTGTATTCCTTGCTAACAATTTGAGTTGAATAACATGTGAAAGCCAGCCTTACTCTTTGTTTTTATTTTTTTATATATATATTTTCAGTTCTGGGCAGTTTCCCACATAGTTCTAACAATAGGGGAAGAATAGGGGTGAGAAAAAATACCCCAAAGAAATGCTAGGCTAAAGGGTGAGTTGATTTTTGTTTGGGTTTTTGTTCTTGAGTGGAGTTTGTTTACATGGTAGCCTAGTCCTACAATCTTTTAATTACCACAAGCTGGTGGTGTACTATTCCCACCAAAATAGGGTAATCTATTCATTTGTTGTATCCATTTTGGTCACTTGTTTATTCTTTGTCAGTATGTAATAACATAACTCAGGTCTCTTAAGTTATTTTTCTTTAAAACAATTCTGTTATGGTTAA